AAGTGCAAAGCAGATACATGCAGAGGACAAAGCCCTGTCCTTTGAATTTATGGTCTCAAAGGAAAATGCTTTGAGAGACCGCTATATTTCTGTCTAAAATATATGGTTTAATTTAGGAGTGCCCAAGTGACACTAGTGGCCTCTGATATATAAGTGGTCAGGTTAATAGACCTCTATGTACTTTCTTGCTTGAAGCTCAGAGCAACAGCAAGTGGAGCATTTTGAATGGGTTCCATTTGTTATTCTTTTAATTGCCTACTAATATTTCTTTTGGTGGGAAAGACTTAATAGAGCCCTTCTGCCTGCAAACGTCTTCCAAACTATCCAAATTGCAATTCAGCCAAAACAAATACGAGTCTTCAGTTCTCTAGAAATTAAAAAGAAACTTGATGGGGATCCAGGAGATTCCTGTTCTTCATATAGCTCTACAACACACCTTTGGCAAGTAATTTCAACCTTGATCCCCGCCCACGAAATGGTCCGATTACACTTTCTTTATCCCAGACTTCATTAATTTTGCCTGGTCAGGCTGTTCTCTGCTTATGGGGTATGTCCAGCATCACAGGACCATGACTTGGCCTGCAGATAACACAGGATTGCATTAGGTTTAGGACCATCCTATCCTTTCTCCATAAAGCTCAAAACTAAAGCAGAGTGGAATAAACAAAACAAGCAAACAACAACAAAAACAAAAAATTATCGTAATTTTCTATGGCATCACTGTTTATCTGAACGTGGAGAAAATAGCAAGTTTCCTTTAAAAGCACTTGCAATGAAATTCACACTCTGTCAGGTGTAAATTACAGCCTGTATCTCATCTTGTTCTATCTACAGCTTCTTTCATAGTCATGCATAGCACCAGCGTACAAAAATATTTCCTGCATGTGATCAAGCAAGTGTGGGCACATAAGATGCAAGCAAAATATGAGACTCAAAAAAAATGTTTACTGGTATCTTAAAAGAAAACTAAAAGTTTGTAATCATGTCATTTCTCAATCAGATAAGGTGAATTACAATTCTACTTGGAAATACAATTCAAATAAATCTAAGAAATATTTTCTTTAAGAAGTTGCAGAGAATTGAGGTAGCTAAAAATAAATGACAGAAAGAAATAACAATCCCAGGAACACGATTATATTGTGCAATCATAAATAGAGTAGATCACTTAAATTAAATCCTGATCATAATGGAGTTGCTCAGTCGAATAACATGGGAAACAGGCTTTTAATCTTTTTTTTCCCCAGTGTTTTCTGCAAGATCTTCTGATTGCATATGCTCTATGACATCTAATAGATTACTTCAGACAAGTATCTACACACCATAGTAAGTTCTGCAGAAACGTGGTTTCATCTGTACTCATCTTCAAAATAGCGAACTCCTCCCTGAGTCCTGTGGATTGGTGATACTGTGGATCACTGGCATCACTGGCTTCACTTCACAGTGAAGCATCACTGAGTTTGGGAGGAGTAACCATGTAGTGCACTGCCATGTTATTTCAGGGTCCATATTTCAGTGTACAAACAAGATTTCAGCCTGGGTAGAAATTCAATGTTGTTAATCTTCTTAGGACAACTGTGGCTAGGGGCAAGGAAGCAGCGTATTTAGTTTAATTACATGGCCAGAAATGCCTGAGCTAGGAAATTCTCTCTTTAAAGCTGGCAATTTCCTTTCATTCAGGAATAGTTTAAATGTCTTAATTGTTAAGCTATCTATATAAAGGTTTACTACTGATTAAGTCTCCAAATGCTTATCAGTTGGTGAAGATTGGGTACCTGCCACAGTGCAGAGAGAGAAGAAATAATTTTCTAGATGATAAAACCTTTGTGAGGCACTAGAATTTAAAATCTGCTTGTTCAAATAGGGCCTGAAAAAATCAGTTTTGTATGACTTCTCAGTGAATGAAAAGGGATGCCATACCTGCTATGAATGGTTACAGAACTTCTGAGGACTCTGCAGACAAGTCACCAGCTTTCCTGTCGTGTCTGGCACAGGTTTTTGCACTTTACAGGATAAGACAATCAAGCTTTGACCCTTAAGTTCCTCATAATCAACATTTGTGCTAGTAAATTCAGTTTAATTGGAATTCAGTTATGTTTCTAAGGGGAGTTTAACGATGGAAAGATTCATGCTTCATCTCATCTCAGTGATACTAAGATTCATGTATGCAGATCCATCACTGAGAATGCCCTGGCCCCTGTTATCATTAATTGAAGCATATTAAGAGACTTAGCAGGAAAAAAATATCCAAATATGAAATGTCAAGAGACAGATCCATCTAGTTTCAAATCCTGTAGTTATAATATACCTTAATTACAGTTAATTAGGTGATATTGCTCCTGGAAGATCATCTGACATAGTTTCTGTTGATTAAATAAAGAACAGAATTCAATACATTTGTTGAATGTGGGACCTGTTTATTGTGGCTGTACAATTCTATCTAGAGTGTCATTCCTGCTACATAGCAAAACAAAATCACAGGTCAAAAATATTTCCCTTGACCTATGATGCTTTAATATGCCCTGCTGCCTTCTTAAATTTTCTGCTGGCTCCTGAGGACTCCAGCACATGCAGCTCCCACTAAGGAGAGATACAGAGGCTTCTCACTGAGCTTCAACTGAGCTACATCAGATCCTAAATGAACAGCAGATATAGGAAATGGCTGAGGGAAGACAAGTGCTACAGGAATTGACCTCTATGGAAGAACAGTGAAGTTGGACAGAGAATCAATGAAAGCTCCAGTACCATTTGTGAAAGAGTAATCTTTGATTTACTGAAGGAGTGCTATTATCTGGAATCCTTTCCTAAAACAGTGTGAAATGCAAAAATTAGAAACTCAGGCTGAAGGCATGAGCTCAGTTTCTGCTGGTGTCAATACAGTTTGCTCACACTCATTGATCTATGGCTATATATGACTCTGAAATACATTTTGCAGGGCCGCCTGAGATCTTTGCTCATGCTTAGAATAGAAACTACAGGATCAGTTTTATCACTGAAAAGTAAGCAGTGCATATCTGCCTGAAAAGTAACAAAATTAACATTTGTGAAGTAATCTTTTTTTCTCAGTTACCAGAAAAAGGAAAAAAAGAAAAAAGAATAAAAAAGCAGCATTACTGGCTTACTTGTACTAGGAAAAGTCCTGGTTTTCACAAGCTCTGTGCACACTAGTTGCCTAAATGCTTGTTTACTCTGAACTGCAACAATTGTGATAAATCATTTGCTATTTACTCTTCAGTGCTACTATATGCTTTGGGCAAAGATCTTTTTCGGTTCATTATTTATTTATTTTTAAAAGCAAAACCACTCTTTTAGCACATTTTTCCATTCCCAGTGATAGATTTTATCTTTGATATGTGATCCAGTTATTTAACTACCTCTCACTACATCTCCCATGAATTGTTTATACAGCAACTTGGCAGCATAATTTGCATATCACAGGAAAGATCCTATTACATGTTCCCAGAGGTGCGGTTTCATGAGCTTTATCACTTTCTGCCACCTATGCACATCTCAGAAGCTGAGTGTCTGGATAATCCAGAAAGGCACTTCTTGGCTGCCAATAGTAATTAAACATTAATGGTGCAGTTACAACATTTCCAGCCACTCAGAACTTATCTTCCCATTGTCTTAGACAAAGATAATATCCAAAAAGATATTTATCTTTCCATACAAAATTTTCTGCCACGGGAAAATCACAGACCTCTATCTTTAATGCATTCTGTTCAGCTGTTGCAGACTTCACCTAAAATAATTAGACAAGGAACAAATGCACAAAGGAAAAAAGTTGGAAAGAGGGGAAGCATGCTTAGAAGCAGAGGAACTGAACATACCATGGAAGAGCCAGAGAAGATGTGGAGCTGGACATGGTGTTTGCTCTCCAGACTCTTATCTGGTGACTGAATGGGACAATGGCTCTAACTGCAGGCTTCATGGTGACAAAATGCCCATGTTTGGGTGTATTCCAGATTATTCTTCACCCATTATATGAAACATTAAAAAATGACAGCAGTGTAACTTTCACTGAGAGGAGCACTTATTCCAAGAGCACTCTAGCAATATCAAAGCAGGCAATCACTAGGGACCAGAAAGGAATTAAAGGTAAGGCAGAAACACAAGTCAAACACCAACAAATTTCCTTGCATAAAGTACTGTTGCCTCCAGATGTTTTCCCAATAAGTAGATAAACAGTACTGTGCCTTCAAACAGAGTTTTCCAATGTACATTTGGGGGAAACAAACATTGCAGGTACCAAATTTTGTAAACTTTGATTTTCCCTCCACAAATCCACCTTGCAGTAAAAGACTACTCACATGAAGTTTCAGAAATGCAAACTCTATATGAATTTGGAGTCTGAGATACAGAATTAGTAACAAAAAGATCCTTTTCTGAAAGTGCCTCACGCAAACCTAGTAACACCTTTTCAGCTGTATCCAGTGCAATAACCCAGCATCTTTCTCTCTAGCAATATGAAAAACCCACAAACTCCTCAACACCATAGAAGGTTTGAAGAGAGAAGGGGTTGATTCACTGACAAAACTAATGGGCTATTAAGTCAGTAGCCTTTGAGTCACAAAGTCAACTTCAGTGAACATTGATTGAAACTGGTCATATCCCACAGCCCAGGATTGCATTATACAGTGCAATTGCCAGCAGTCACAGTGACAGAGCAAAAGGGAGATGAAGCACAGCTGTCCTCTCAAGTCCAAGTATAGCCCGGTGGGCAGGAAGGAAAATCAGAGCTGTTCCTGCCTGTTTAAAAGAGAGTATTTCATTTTCGAGCCTGTCAGCATGATTCTTTTTGAACGCATTATGTTCACTGACATGCCACCCTGACATTTTGTTTAGTACTACAAAAAAACCCAAAACCTAAACAAGAGGTAAGGTTATAAAATCAAATCTGATGTTTTCTGCATGTTAAAAGAAGTATTGCTTCCACAGAGACCTGGTAGCTCAAACAGCTGCAGCACAGTCCCAGTACATGAAAACCAAAAAATGGAACTGACCTGGGTTTCACGGTTCAAGCGTGCCGTGGCAGGGATCCCGGCACGACTTCCAAATTCAAAGCTTGAATAAACACTGTTGTAGTTTCTTGAAGTGGATGCTTTTAATGCAATCTGAAAAGGGTGAGAGAAAGGGCATATTCCTGAAACCTATGTTTCTTAGGTAGAAATTCTGCCTGGAGAAGCCCAGCTCGTGACTGTTTGCTATTAAGACTGTACAGGAGAGAGGAAGCGTCTTTGAGTTCACATACTTAATGCTCAGTGGTGTGTCTGCAGAGTGGCAGGAAATAAACAACAGTGAGGAGGGGTTAACCAGAGACCTGCTGGCTAAAATCTATATGCCTGGAAACAGAAGGGAGAGGACTGCAAGGTCAGATATAGTTCAATTGTTTCTAATAGGGGGAATCTGCCACAGAGCTACCAGGTACAGACAAAGACACCTATCAGAGGCTGTACCCATTTTCCATCTCCCCCTAAACCCAAAACAGCAGTTGTGCATCATGCCATGTCAGTTTCTTCAAACTGTTCTAGAATGTCCTAATCCCCAAACATAGCAACACTCGAAAGCTATATAGTAAATAAAAGGAAAGGACAGAGAGATCAAACAAGCCACCTATGCATGGTTCTTCATCACATCTAAAACTCCTAAATCACCCCCTGTGATGTGTTCTCTAACTTCTTTCCTAAGACAGCTGTGTGCCTTATGAAATGATGTCCCCATTCTGCCATAACTGCATCACGGGAGCATCCACACAGATGGTCAAATGCAAGTGAAAATATCTCTGAGCCTGATAGGAGATGGTAAAGGGAAAATCCCTTTACTTGGAGCCCATCTACCAAAATTTCACCACTGCACCAAGTCACAACTGACTCAGCAGGCAGGCAACAGAAATGCTTTGTGAAGCCACCAGCCATGTATGCAGACAGAGGTATGGAGTTGGGCACGGAGCACAGCATGAGTCAGAGAGTCCAGATGTGGGGATGGCTTGAGAGGAAGAGGGACAGCAGATGCCTGCTTTGCATGGAAATGTGCAGAGGAAGAATGAGCTAAGCTATGCTTCCAAAGATCTCCTTCTGCAAGATGCAAAGGATGCAGCAGACATGTTCCAGAAGATCCATCACAAGCACTAGCATTGGCAGAAATCAGATATGGTTGCAGACATTTTCGCTTCAGCTTTTAGCTAGCAGCTTTTCTTAGAGAAGGAAACCTTTCTTAGAGAAAGACCTGGGATACTGCCTCCCCCCATTAAAAAGCCCAAACCCAAACCCAACCCTATTAACTGAATTGGTGGACAATGGTATTGAGGAAACACCCAGAAGCAATAGAGAAACATACTGTAAAGCATAAAGTAGTACTGTGATTGCATTCATTTTTTGTGTACAGAGTATTTATAGATGCTAACCCGGGCAATTTCGTATCTCTAGACATTTCCTCTATGCTTGTCAAATGAAATGGCATTTTTCATCCCATTTTGACTGGAAGAGAGAATATGTTTGGATTATAAATTGTTTAGAATTACTTGTTAATGCTGTCGGCTTTTCTGTGTCTGCTCGTAGGAAGGACAGGAGGGAGAAAACAAATAATATATTACACATAAAACCACAGCGGAGAAAAAACAGAAAGCAAGCTCTGTTTTCAACACATTTAAACTGTTCAAATGAGAAGAATCAGTTGCCGTGGAAGCAGATCTGCAGCTGAATGAAACCTTTCACTTGTCCAACATATGAAATATTTATTATCTGAGGGTGAATAGAGATTAAATAAGCCAGACATACAATGCAGAAAGCATACCCTGGCTCATCACCTCCATGATTTTCACAGGTCCTGTGGCAGCCAGATTAGATTTTGCCATAGAGAAAGGGAAGTGGGCTCAGTTGCAGTATTAGGTGTCACAAGAAATAAAATTTGAGGAAAGCAACTTCTCAACTTTAATTTAGCCAGGCTGGTGAAGCAAAATGATGATCCTGTCCTGTGTTTAGTAAGGCCGGAAAATGTTATCATTTCCAATTAGAGGGAAGAGCCCAGTCTCTCTTTAGATAATTATTTTTCCAATAAATTATTCTTGGCCACTTGTTTCCCCATAAAAAATGCCTACTGTTTTTGCCTGGTAGAAGTTGGGTTGTTTCCCCTCCTTTTTTATTTCCTTACTTTGTGTGGGTTGGACTTAATTTATTATGGGGCTGAAACTTGGCAGAGATTCAGACACAACAACCTGAAAAATGTTCATACTAAAATTCAGTGATGAGATTCCTTGTTCATTTTACCTCAGAGCCTCCCTGATAATTCAGTCCTGTAAAACTGAGCACAATTGATGCAAAAGTGGCTGTGTAATCCAGGTCATTTTATTTTTCAAAAAAATACTTTAAACACTCCTTTTGCTGTAGACACAACCCTGACTATGAACAAAAGCCAAAGCCATTATTTAAGAAAGTGATAATTTTGCATAGCTGCTTTCAGCAGTGAATCACACTTGGAAATAACATTTTTGCCCTTTATCGCATTCATTTCCCAGAAAATCTGAATTTCCAAGGCCTTTGGCATCCTTACTATAGCTAAACAGCTTTAATGTCTGCATTCTAAGATGCTGAAATTTTCTAATTAAGCTAAGGGGTAAAAATAAAGATAAAAGTCCATTATTATTAAATCATAAATGGTACTATGATAAAGAATATTTCTGCTAAGTCTGGTGTGTGCATGTGTGAAGTGACTGGAAAGTTGTAAGGAGTTAACGCACAACACCAAAATATGATCACTTCTTTCAGTTCACACTGCTGCATTTGGAAACTGCATGAAGATTTTAGCAGTAAATACTGGATCAGGGAACACGATTTCAAGTCAGGTTTACAGCCTCTTGGGTGCTGCACAGGACTGATCCTGCCCTAACGATTGAGATGGAAGTGAGGTAAGAACAAGATGGGGAGGGGAGAAGGAACAGCAGAAGAAAAGAGGCAACACGATATCCAAGCAATGGCACTGAACAAACTGCGCCACCACAAAACCAATGCACACACTGCAGAAACACGGGGATTCCTGGCTTCGCAGTGGCAGATGATATTTATCTCCAGCCTCTTCCACAACACAATAGACCTTGAAATACTAATCAGTCCTTTCTTCCAGTCATGCTCTTCTGGCACTAATCCTGTTCCTTAATAGAGTGCACCTCCAATGGTGCAGGGCAGGAGCTCTTTCCCATGCCTAGCACATAATACTCAGTTATGCACTCTGGCTTTTCCTAGTCTCAGCCTTCATTTTCATTGCTTCTGTGCAAATAACTTCCTCCACATCTGTTACAATCCCTTTGCCCTCTCACAGAGTGCTGTGCTTATGCTTCCCCAAGTTTGCCAGAAAGAGATTTCTAGGCTCCAAGTGCACCAAAAAAGCACAGAATGTGCCTTCTTTCCTGCCTTTCCATCTGCCTGGAATACCCTCCCTTCTTTCCCACCGTGGTACATCAAGTACCTTCCCTTTCTTTGAGAAAACTGCGAATCCATCTGTTCAGCAAGTTGCTCCATCTGCAAGTCCAGTGATGTGCTGCCAATATTTCAACAAAGGGCTTCTCTAAACCCATTCCCCTGAGTCAGTAACACAGCCCACGTACCCAGGGTGGGGATGTTTGCAGACAGGAGGCGTGTGGAACTGGCGGGCTCTATTCATTTGGTTTTCCCATTTCCACAAAATGCTTTCCCATATCCAAGGAAAGAGGCAGCACCATTTGGCAAATACATTTCTGTTACATGCCCCCTACCAGAAGTGTTAATACTTGGGTCCTGGGAAGAAGAAAAACCAAACAAACAAAGGAACCCGCTTTGTTGAGACAGTTGCAGAATGTGCACCTGGACAAAACACAAAGGATGACAATGGTAGGGAGGGATCTAAATCCCTTTTAAGGGACTCCTCAGGACCATATCTGTGTCAAACAAATTAGTGAAGGGGCCCTGGTTACACAGAAGGAAATCATGCCAAGTTTTCCTCTAAGTGTGAGCTAGTGAACAGTTGAGCTTTGCAAATGTGCCTGGTTACTCGGATGAGGGAAAAGGAGTAAACAGTTAATGCAGACAGTTTTTCAGAAGGGAATTGTACACCACTTTTGCCATTCATACTGCTGTACCAGGTGTGAATACATATCATACCGTTTGTAAATATATATATATGCATGTATGAATAAACACACGTGAATTAGACAGTTGCTTTTAAAGACTTCGGCTGCTGCTTTTGCTTCAAAAGCTGCCCTATCTCAGGCATTTTAGAAGTCCAGACTTGTTAGTTTTCCATATGGAAGTTGATACATGCAGGCCAGGATGCTCTGACTGTATGCACTTTGGATTGACCACTTTTCCTGTTGCTGTTTATTAGCTGCACGGTGTTAGATTTATGGCAAGTTTCAAAGACATATAAATAGCCAGCGGTTAAATTAAATTAAACTCCCAAATTTTTCAAAGGTGACAGTATAATATATTATCTGCTATTTTTTTTATAATCAGCATTTTTTTAGGATGGTCTTCATAAAACATAGAAGAACACTCTGCATTGGAACACATGATCGCACCACTTCAAATCTCTTACCCTGATTGCTTTCCAAATAAGGAAAATTAAGCCAAACCAAAAAAAGATTCCAAACCCCAAACCAATCAACCAAACAAAACACAATAAAACAACCAAAAATTGGACTCAACAAACTCAGTGTTGAGTTCAACAGATGACGTTTGTTGGGTTTGAAGAACACAAGGTTAGCAGGAATGGTTGCCATCATATAGTTTAGTTTGATAGCACTAAAATATAACACATGTGCAAATTCTAACACTAAATAATCTCTATTTATATGCCAGGAAACAATTTTAAAAGTATGTTTTGCTTTTGTCTACTTTGGCTGCCATATAAATGGCAAAGTGTCAAGCCTCTTACTTAAAAACGAAGGCAATGCTCGTGTCTGTCCTGTAATGAGTTTTTCCAGAAAGAAATCCTCATCCTTATCCAGCAGAGCACATCAGCACATTTTGGAGATCACCCATCAACAGCGAAACACTGGAACACGTTTACGTTTAGAGCATTTGCTGAAGAGGCAGAGATGAGGCAGGTGCCCAGTCGGTGTGCTGGGCTGTGACCTGTTTGAGGC